GGGAGGAAGCACACACAGAGCATCTTTTAGGCATCACTCGGGCTGTGACGGGCCAAGATCACGTCTGAAATCAGCACTTCCACAAAAGGATTTGGACATTTCAGAAACACCCATCTTAACGGTCAAGGAGAACACTCGCCGTCGTTTCAGCAGCGGTTAATAAAAAAGAAAAAAGCCTGGATCCTGAAAATTTGGAGGGCAAGGGCAGTTTGGGTGCTGCAGGCTGATGCACGGCTCTTTGTTGGAAAAAAATTGGGAAAAAAAATAAAATAAAAGCAAAGCCGCCCTCCATCCGGAGGATGACAGCGTCACCAGGGCTCAAACGCTCCACAAAGAGAAGGGGAAATCTTGCAAAAATAGGTATTTTAGCATCTAAGCAGCTCAGGACCGTTTTGGGAGGTCAAACACAAGGCAGCGCCTCGAGAAACGCATCCCGTCGCTGGGAGGCACCGGCGCGATGCCGTGAGTCGGCGGGTCCGTGCACCCACCACCCAAGGGCGGATAAATGTTGAGCAGCGGGGCACCGGTGACGAACAGGGGCACAAACCACAGCCGGATCGGCCGCATCCTGAAACGGTGCTTTCCCTGACCTTTAAGACGTCGCAAACGCAGGCGGCGGGGGAAAAAGCAGCACAGGAGGCAGCTCCGCGCCCGCTTTTTACGCAGCGGGGGAGCGCGCCCCGCGCCCGCCGCTGCGGAAGAAAGTGAAGGGGGCGAAGGGGAAGGTGCCAGTGGGGCGAGGGCACCGGGATCCAGCCGGAAAGGGCAGCTCCAGTTTCGATACATCGACCAAAGGTCTGGGCGGGCGGCAGCGCTGCGGGAAGGCGCCCGCGTGCCCGGACAGAGGCACGTTAATATCAGAGGGCATTTCCCAATGGATTTAAAGTAAGAGCTGGAGAGGTTTCCCTCCATCCCCTACGATTTTGTGGGTTTGTTTGGTTTTTTTTTTGGGAGGGAAACTTGGAAATGTTGAAATGTCAGGAAACTGGAGCTGCAGCGGGGTGGAGGGGCAGCCGAGCGGTGGGCTCGCCGGGAATTAAAACCCATCAAGGTTTAATTGCGAAGGTACCATTTCCATCATCAGAGACTGTGATTCTCATCCTCGATCCTATTTTACAAAACCAGTTAAGAGCAGCAAGCAGGCGATTTAGGGCGACTGGGGAAGTGCTCCGGACCTTCTGCTGATTTTAAAAAGAATTCCTTTTCTGCAGGAGAGCACCGCCGAGCAAGACGCGGTTCGTCTCGCCCAGCGCGCACCGCGGCTCTGGGAACCCCCCCGAGATCCACCAGGTATTTCTCGTCACCGATTCCCAAAGTCAGGAGAGTCCGTGAGGAGGCTGAAACTTTAAGGGAAATCACCCGGATTCATCCTCCCGGGAGCATCGAGCCGGTGCTGGACACACCATACGTGCTTCAACACGGTGATCAACACAAGCGCTTCGTGACAACGAAGGCGATGTGGTTACTGCGCATGCGCCGTAGCCGATTTTCAAGTCTCAAACTCGGTTGACGGATTTCAATTTTTGGAAGCCGAACACGGCTGCTGTTCAGTGTTTAAAAGCTGTTAAAGCTTGAAAAAAACAAAAAAAATCTTTTTTTTTTTGAAAGCGCAAGAGGATAAACGTCGCTCTTTTGGTTCGAAAGCAGGAAAACGTGAACCGCGCTTCGTTCTGAAGTCGATGTTTTGTTTAATCCGAGTTAGAAACCCATGAAAAACGCCAAGAGTGGGAGCGTTAGCGGTGCTCACAAGCGCTGCTCTACCACGAGGAAAGCGTTAAAACAGGCAAGGGAGAGGGACTTCTCCGTGCCCATCAGCAGGTCCTCGGGGCGGCGAGACCATACTCTACCTCGGCGCTCGAGAGCTGGAAGTCGGAATAATCGAATCCCCTCAGGGGGGTGCCCGCTTTACTGTTTATCAACCAGGGTTTGTCATAACATCGAGAGAAGTGATGTGGAGTCTGTGAAATTGAAAATCCAAGGAGGGGAGGGGGGGGGAAGAGGGGGGAGTGAGTGAAAAAAAAAAAAAAAAGAAACGGAAAAAGTACCTGGAATGGGGGAAACGGCACTAAAATGCAATGAGAACCAAACAGGAAATATATAAATTAAAGTAAAGGGGAAAAAACCCAAACAGATGATGAAATAAACCATGGGCAGGTGATGTGGTGGGAAAGGAGAGATGACGGGCGACGGCTTCTTCCTGCGCACCGGCCGGACACC